AAAACATTTGCATTGTATGTACCAATCTTAAAAAGAATAACGAGAGACTTTTAAGACACAATATATTTACTCATTTACATTTAAAATTTACAGTGTCCACCTGTACTATATGAAAATAAAACATTTTTTCTTTGAGAACTAGGAAATAAAATGCCGTTTCTTTTCAATGAAATATTGTTGATGATTTTGGCAACTATAGCAGCAACATTGCCGTTATTAAGTAAAAATATATCTGATAATTAAAGGTTAAAATGTTCATTAAAATGTTTAGCTTAATGTTTCATAATTTGTCTTAAATCTACATATAATGGGCATTTTAAAATGACATGAAGTTCATCTTCAATAGTAGAGCTACAACACATGTCATCTCGTGGACTTCTTTTCTTTCATACTTTCCAGTTTCTATTTTTAGTGGAGCTACCCCACATCTAAATTTTGCAAAAGCACTGTTGTTTTCAATTGGCGGAATATTTTTTAACAAATAACAGTTGGCCAACAGTATATTTTTAAGCCCATTTCGCTCAGTTGAATAGAAATTCAAATTTTTAATGTTCTGTCGTAGAAATGTCATCATGTTATTGTTTGTACGTAGAACATGTATCATTATATTAAAATGTGTCAGTCCCAGCCAAGATTCACTGAATAACCACGAAATGTTAACAGATGATAAATAAATTTTACACAAAAATTCATGAATCTGTGTGAACGTTATGTACGATGAAGTTAATTAAGTGTTCACAAGAAAGTAAGTATGAATGTAAATTTTATTTAAAGTCGGAACATATATATACACTTTAACCGTGAGATAAAATATAATCTTTGATGAGCTCTATAACCGACTATCATATAAAAACCGCAATGAATGAACGTTACCCGATTAGAGATGAACGTTTGACAAATGCACGTTATCTGATGTACACAGTTACATACACGATTGACGAACGCACGAAACACGGTTAAGAATGAATGATTGATGAACGCACGATACACGCACGATACACGCACGATACACGCACCATACACGATAACGAATACACGATGCACGCACGTTACACGGAAAATACACGGAACGATGAATGATGAGCGCACGATTGGTACACGCACGATACACGCACGCAACACGCACGATACACGATGAACGCACGGAATAATGGTCAGTTTGAATTTTAGAAGGTCTGTAAATACAAAACAGTCGGCGGAATATACCAAAAGGAAAATAAAACATCAACAATTGAAGAGAAACCGACAATATTATGGCAGAAAAAGATAAAAAGGCGAAAGGACAAATACCAGTCTACAAAACAATACAAAACTAGACTGAACGAAACGAACCTCAGAATTATAACCATCATTTAAACAGTACCTTCTTAGATTATACTCTTTGGTATTCGTTGAGTGAAAAGAAATTCATGTGCAAGATATACATTTGTTTATGTAGACAAGACAAGCAAATAATATTCCTCTCAAACGGCGTTATGTTTTAAGGTATAACTGTCTGCAAATGAAACAGAAGAATACACAGTATACGTGGTGCTTCTTTAATGTAGATCAAGGTTCAATGGTTTGTCTTGTTTCATAAAAGTTGTCAAACATATAGATTACGCATATATTTTACCATATCATTACCTGTTATGTATTGATCATATTGTAATTATTCGTATACACAATTTTCAGTTTATTGTTTTATGAAATATTTCATTAATTAAGAATATATATTCAAGGGGATCAGCTTTTCCATCTTCGTGGGTAGAATATTCATTTTCAAATCTTACCAGGCCAGAATATTCATTACCAAAATCATCATGGCCTCCAAAATATCTGGTGTATTTACCCTTTTAAACATTACTTATCCAAGGAAAACACTGTTAAAACCAATACTCCTTGTTTAGAGAGTGTCACACTTTCTGCACGTAAAAGACCCCGACAAGAACCGACTTTTAGGGGTTCACTAGTAGTTTGTTGGAAGGTCAATTGCTTCCCATGTCAAAACTTTCCCTAATTCCCAGAAAAGTACAAATGTTCCCGTCTTCCGACCCGTTAGACCAACTTTGCAGTACCTAATTACATTTAATGTGATTTTTTTTTTATACTTTCTCGTTTTAATTGGATATAAGAAGATGTGGTATGAGTGCCAATGAGACAACTCTCCATCCAAGTCACAATGTGTAAAAGTAAACCATTATAGGTCAAAGTACGGCCTTCAACACGGAGCCTTGGCTCACTTCGAACAGCAAGCTATAAAGGGCCCCAAAATGAATAGTGTAAAACCATTCAAACCCGAAAACCAACGGTCTAATCTATATAAAAACGAGAAACGAGAAACACTTATGAACCACATCAACAAACGACAACCACTGAACATCAGGTTCCTGACTTAGGACAGGTGCAAACAAATGCAGCGGGTTTAAACGTTTTAACAGGCACCAACCTTCACCCGTACCTACGCGCTCCAAATGATAGCAATTATGGCTCACACGATCTTATAGTCCCAGGTGAGCTACAAATTCTATTTCAACTTTTTTTTAATGGAGCAACAGATGAAAGTGAGAAGTCATCAAAGATACTGTTTTGATAATATAATGTTCAGAAGCACATTCCTTCTACATACGACTTTTCAATGAGGGTCTGGATGGTTTCTTCATTTCTGTATTCTGTAATATTTTAGGCCATGTTTCTCTATTCAGTAAAAGATATGTTTATTCTGTAAAATGTTTGTCTTCCGGTCCTATACATGCAAATTTCCTGTTATATAATAATTTTACATGATAGTTCTTCTTCATGTCGGTTTCAACCTCCAATAGATTGTTATTATTGACGAATGATGGTTGCTTGTGAGTACTCCGTGAATTGTGCCTTAAAATGAGCAACCTTCAACTCGACGGCACCGAGCGGAGTGAGGCTAACCTTTTCTTGGACGATTGTATGCTAAAAATTCATATCCAATCAAAGGTGTGGGGGCGTACGCTTATGATGTTCAAAGTATGGATTAGGCAACCCTATCCCCCGCCCTCGTAAATCCGTCACTGCACAACACATGGAACCGCATTTAACCATTTTCATTCATATCTTATTTCAAAACATAGCCAAAATTTCAAGGAAATTTATAAAGGGAGGAGAATAGCACACAGACACAGGCACTTGTCTAAAAAATTTTTTACCGATACAACTTTATATAAACCACAAAAAAATCTGAGACAAAGGTTTGTGGTTTAGAATTTAGAATGATAATCAAAACGAGTCACATATCAATCGGATTTTGGCATCTAAACAGCAAAAAATAAAATTTATAGGGCAAATATTGAAATAACATTTAAACTTTTCCATTGTAAAGGGATAAAATAAGGAAAAAACGTTTAAAAATGAGAGTCGTCTCTTCATTTTCACAACTTCACATCAAAGGAACCGAATAAGCAATTAACGATTGATGATTACAAATTTATTGTATAACAATACAAGTCAAAAAACTTGTTTTTTGCCTTAATATTAATCAATTGTATTGGAAATGAAGTGACAAGTACATGTATACTAATGTTGATAGACAATTTGGTAAATTAAACACAATTAATATTTTACTCTTCATAGTGGGTGTCACGTGGTAATAAATAAAACACACAAAAAAATAGTTACAAATCGTCTTTTATTAGAAATAACTCCATAAGGAGCCGACCAATTATTGTTTAGTCATTTTATCGGCCTTTTTGTAGATCTGGTATTGCTGAACATTTTTGCCTTTGACACATGACAGTTTCTATCTGCATATACCCAATACAGTTTTTGAGTTTAGGCAAGGATATGAAAATTAGTCACAATTCGTTATTTAAAAGCAATAAATCATTAGGAGTCAAGTGATAAGTTGGGACAAACATGAAGTAGGTAGATCTTAACATTTTAGTATTTTTGACCTTGTCAGATTTCCCCTCTATCTATATAGTTTTCAAGATATGAAGTAATTTAATGCATTTTACTCTTACTTCTTGCAAAAGAAGAATACACACACACAAAATGTATAAAAGATACCCTAAAGATCATTCAGCCCAAGTTTGGTTGAAATCGGTTATGTAGTTTCAGAGGAAAATATTTCGAAAAAGTTTACGTCGACGGACGACGACGACTACGCGCTCCAAATGTTAACAATTATTACCTCACATGGCCTTATAGGCCCAGGTGAGCTAAAAAGTATATTTTAATTTTTTTTAATGGAGCAACAGATGAAAGTGAGAACTCATCAAAGATACCAGTTTGTTAATCTAATTCAACAGACGCACATTACATGTACATACGACTTATCCATGGCGCTCGAATCAAAACAGTTGAAAGTCTATATAAATTGCAAAGTTGACAAGAATGCATAAACTTGTTTTCTCTCGTTATGTGGATCTTTTTTTTCAAATTAGACCTACCGAATTAGACTTATCACCGGGTTTGTACTAACATGAGCAACACGACGGGTGCCACATGTGGAGCGGGATCTGCTTACCTTCCCGGAGCACCTACGATCACCCCAGTTTTTGGTGGGCTTCGTGTTGCTCGGTCTTTGGTTTTCTATGTTGTGTTTTGTGTACTGTTGTTTGTCTGTTTGTCTGTTTGTCACTTTTTCTTTTTTAGCCATGGCGTTGTCAGTTTATTTTCGACTTATGAGTTTGTATGTCCCTTTGCCTTTCTTTTTCAAACATATGTTTACTGTCAGGGAAAAAGAATTTATTCATAGTTATTTGAAAATTAAGAATCTCATTGGTCGCTACATGTAGCCGCATTCCGATTTTAAATTAAAATTTCAAATAATGAACAATTAAATATTTAACTATTTTAACAATTTTAATATTGACTTGTTAAACATGTCTCCTTGTGAAAAGAAATACATTAATGTTTTCCGGCATGTGACAATGTGTATTGGGCACAAACGAGGTAATTACGATCTGTCATATGATTGACAGGTTAATGTTCTGTCTAGGTATATAATGATAGAATCTATTTGTGACGATCAAATTATATAGAAAACTTACATGGACACATATTGACAATTGCTGAACGTTGTTTTGTTTTAATATTGAAAGCAGCGGCAATACATTATAAATTTTTAAGAAATCGTTTTCTCGGAATTACAAATATGAGTTTTCGGTCATTAAAAGACGACAGGGAGCATACGAAAGAAACTGTTCGAATTCACAGAAAAGCGGGAAAACGGAGATCAAATTCAGCACCAACTATTCATCCTGATAAAACAAAGGATATCAATGCAACGGACAGTAAAGGAAGGACGTCTTTGTACTATGCGGCAAAATATGGTGAAATTGAAATAGTCAGACATCTATTATGTAACGGAGGTGATCCAGATTTACCGGATAAGGCATCGAATTATCCGATACATGAAGCGGTGGATAATGGTCATGTGGAAGTTTTGGAATTACTGATATACAAAGGTATGCATGCCTTTCACAATACAGTGAGAGACAATTGAAGAGATAAATATAAACAATCATGTAATCATTGAATCATTGCATGAATTTGCTTGGTACATTTGTATTACCTACTCGATGGAATCGCGCGTCGATTGCATTATTTACTTGATTAAAAACCAAATAGCCACGAACAAAATATGATATATTTAAAGAATGACAAAAAACAAACAAACAAATAAGTAAGTTAGCAGACTCTAACTGTCTCTAATTAACATTTGTAAAATTAGAAAAATATTTATAATTATTTCTTTTTCTTTTTAACAGGTTGCAGTGTTAATGTTCAAAATCTCTCTGGACAGACTCCACTGATGAGAGCAGCCCTTTTTGATGATTTAGACGCTGTAAAGGTGTTAATTAAATCAGGTAAATATATTATGCTTTTTCATTTAGTGTTCAGTTTTCAGCATTCTTCCGCAATTTTAGATAGTTCTTCACCGAAGAAATATGAATATGTTTTGTTGAGAAAATCATCATTCAAAGCAATCGAAAGGAACATACAGAAATGTGTTTTTTCTGCTATAGATATAACTTGCTTTCATTTAAACCTACTCCTTAGAAGTTGTGAGATAAAACAATTAAACATATGCAATGGGGTGGTAGACATACAGATTTGTGGGCTGTATGTCAATGAGACAAAATAAAAATAATAAACCTATCTAAAAGGATAACGCCTTTTAGACAAGTGCATATTCTTTGTATCAATCTCTAAATCGGTCCATGTCCAGACCATTTGATATTAGACGAACTAAAAATTAAGTAAGCAACTTTATCATCCAAAATTCTACTTTGGTTGACTTCAGTTCGCTTCCATTATCAGTTACGTTTATTTTTTACAATTTCAAATACTGAATTTTAAACGCTGATACTTTTTAAAAGTAACCCATTTGTAATGGTCCGCTTTATAGGCATAATTTTGTTTATTAAAATAGACATACATGTTATTAATCAGTTTCATAGCTTTTGTTTTTCTTTGATTTTACAGATTGTGATTTGGATGAAGTAGACTGTACCGGGAAAACAGCTCTATTGGTTGGTTTACAAGAAGGTCATGATGTTGTGTCTAGATATTTGATCAAAAGCGGATGCGACGTCAATGTGATCGATCGACTTGGACAGAGTGCTTTGTATTTTGCTATCCACAGATCATCAGCTCCATCTGTGTCGTTGTGTCAAAAACTTTATAGAAATGGATACAAAGCAGAAAATGATTCTGATTGGTTAACGAAAGACTTACACCGGAAACTGACTCAAAATGGAAATGGACTATTTTCTCGAGTAATGCGAAAACTCAGAATACAAAAATCAAAAATAGACCTTTATAGCATTGATGACTTATTTTCTGATGACTATGTTGATTTTGATAATTCAAGAAAAGTTTAGGAAATGTCTCGAAGTATATATAATTATGATGTCAGTCTTTTGTTTTCCGTTTTCGAACTTTCTCTGACAAAAGAATTGTTGTTTGTTTATCTATTAAATGCAATTGTAATTGTAACACTTATGAGTTCTACTTATTAAGTAAATCAATACTCTATGAATACAACTAAGCGCTTTTCTCACTTTTGGGATAAAGTATTCATGTATGAAAGGTTCTGATCATCCAAATGCAACATTTATATCAGCTTTGATTTTCCCACTGCAGCATATTATGACAGCGTTATACAGTTAGACGTAGAAGGTCGCTGATTTATTATGGACATTACAGTTCCTCTTCTCATAACATGTTTCACATTTACAATGCAGATAATAATTTAACAGAAACAGCACTCGTATTTACTGAAGACGATCAGACTGTTCGTTTTTCTTCATTTGAATTGTTTAACATTTATCATATCGAGGTCTTTTATAGCTTATTACACGGTCTGGGTTTTACTCATTATTGAAGGATGTATGGTCACTTTGTCCTTTAGTCATGAATAGATAGTTTCAATTGGCACATACGTTTTCTGTGATAAAACTTTGACCTAAACAGAAATTTAAATATAGTTTTTCGCTAATAACAGAAGCAGGGTACACAACAAATAAACTTTATTTGTAGACCTGTATTTGCAAATAGAAAATGATTGTTAGTAGGATAAATGGTATGACAAATAGACATTACATTATATTATAACGGAATAGGAAATCTCGTCGAATTCTATCTTAAGAAAGTGTAGCCGAGAATACAATATTTGTATGTTGATCTTTTAAAAGAATGATATTTCAGTGCCATTTTTTTAAAATGTTTTGTACTAAATAAATGTGATACTCATTGATATTGATTATCTACATTTACTAATGTTATTGATAGTAGGAAAAAATATGAGTAATTCTAAATTTACCTCAAAGGTTATTTTCAACAGACAATACTTGAGACTACCACAGCATGCGCAAAACGGTAGTTATACTCGTGACTTATGGCGGGCTTTTATATACATTGTTTGTAGCAAATGACAGGACTGGTTGAACATGTTTAATGACGCAAAATCTTCCACGTTGTCTACTTTTATGGCTACATGTACCCATTATTAAGAGTTTATGAGCTGGATTTAACTAGTATCTTCCAAAACCGCGGGAGAAAACACATAAGGGGAAAAGAATATAAATTTGTTTAGATGTCTTTTGCTGATTCTGTTATTAGTATTGTTGGGTTGCTGTCTCATTGTCAAAATACCGCTTCACCGTTTTACAATTTTTTAATAAAAGTTTCATTGCAATAGTTCAATGCATTGAAAACAATACAACCTTTGAATGAACGTCTTCTTAATCGGATTTTTTACGAAGTGTGCTGACATGAAAAAAAAAATGAAATGAAACTTAAAAGAAAAATATCAATAATTTAAATGCTGCTCTGGATTTTTGCAGCTCGAATGTTGCAAAATTAAAATATATCATTTATATACTAAAGTAATTACCCCTAAAAGCGCAGAGCAAATTCTATATCTAATACATTAAATAAGTTTTTAAAGTTTCTTATGAACTTTAGCTACTGTATCAAAATAGGGAGACTGCCAATGAGACAACTATCCATCAGAGTTCGAATGTTTATTCTAGTGCAGGGCATTGTAGGAAGCTTTTCGAATGGTAGAAATGTCTTTGCATCAGTATGGTCAATTATTCATTTCAAAGGCCAGTGTATACATTTTATTGATTTTTATATTGCAATATCAACCGACAACATATTGAAGATTGTTTTCTTTCCAAAATATACACATTGTTACATGTAGCTGGCTCATTTTCGTATACAAATTGAAATATTAACACGAAAATCACACAAAAATAAGTTTCAATAAATTGTATACCTCCGAAGCGCTTTTCTGCTTTTAAAATCATCTGTACCGCCCAAATCTAAAAAAAATGAAATCGAAGGCTGAATAAGTACAGAAACACGTTAAAAACTATAAAACAAAAAGGGACATAAAAATAGCCAAAGTCATCTCAATAAGGTCACCTATGGACAATAATGAAATATGAATTATAATTTGTTTTGCGTATGAATAAGAAAAAAGTAAAATCACAAAAATACTGAACTCCGAGGAAAATTCAAAAAGGAAAGTCCCTAATCAAATGACAAAATCAAAAAATGTCAAAAAAAGTATTAACAAAAATACTCCAAGATAAATTATAAAAGGGGGAAGTCCATAAAACCTGACACTACCAAACGTTAGACTGTATCAACTAACGGGACAAACGGAAAACAACAGTCATATTCTTGACTAGGTACAGGCATTTTCCGAAAAAAGTGGGTTACATCTGGTTGTGTGACAGTTGTTTGTAGTTTTGTCAAACATTTCAACTTTTGAATTTCTATGTAACCGGATAGGCATCATCCTGTTCGAAACTTCAACAACCACAATACATAGTTTCTATAATGTTTGTACAACAAATAGTACAAGTCTATATACCTGTTTGTACTTACGATCACTTATGACATATGTCAAGTGACCAAATAACTATAGTCAACCAAATTCCAAAGGTATAATTATTATTCGTGGGTGATGTACATCGTACAAACAAGTCATGACCAAGAAAACACAATTCGGTAAATGTTAACATGGTAGACATTCGGTCAAATTTGTGTAACTTACATTTAACCGTGTATTTGCTGTAATAGTAGTATGTAAGAAAAAAAACCACACGTTAATGTACAAGTGATGTACATGTAGTATGAAAACAGAAAATGTTTGTTTAAATATAATTATACAATACGTTTATTTCGATTCCTCCTAAGTACATTGTAATAGACAATAATATTAGATAATACTTATCTGAGATTTCCGTTGTCGCTTTTTGAACTCTCAATGGCATGGATTGTTGATCTTCTGCATCCAGAATTTCAATTTTTCAAACGCATGGTTATTTGCGCACGCGCCAACTATTTTTCATATTCATTGTTTGTTGTGTTCTAAACCTAAACATGTTTAGGCACATGTCATGCTTATTGTTATATCTAACTTCAAGTGTCTTGTGTTCTAACCCTAAACATGTTTAGAGGAATATTACGTTTAAGATTGAAGTGTTTAGGATAAGAACACAATCCTAACCATGTTTAGATATGAACATGTGCTCAAAGTGTTCTATCTCTAAACTCCTTTTTAACAGTGCATGTACAAATGTATGGGTTTATCTATATAACTTGTATATCCCTTTTCCTGTCCTATAATTGTACAATACAAGTAATTTCCGTAAGTCCAGACTATTGTTGGAAGGACCCCGGACTCGCTAAAAGTGTAATGTTCATTTGAACATATACATGTATATATAGAGAGATAAGAACCGTCGTGCAAAATGTAAATCTTAGAATAAGTTAAGTCTCAGAGAAAACTTTATATTATAAAGAAAGAAGTTGAACTTTTACAACATTATATAGTTTTACCTTATTCAATCAGTAAAATTTATTTAGTGACATGCAAAGGCTTATGGGAAGATGTGAATTAAACAATTACTCAACATGTGAAGGATTCCAACGCTGGCATATTTTAAAATATAAGAAACAGAAATTCTGAGGAGTTTTCAAAACAATCAAATTATTAAAAAAAAATCAAAAAAACATTTTAAAGGACATCGTCTTTGCTAAATTTCAACAAAAGGTGGCAAATGGTCAGTCTAGATTAGTCACAAGCAAATATCAACATCTATTCAGGGGAAACTAGTTACAAATGTATATTACACAAATGCTCAAGCCTGCTACCTAATTCAAAAGGCTGTTTATCAGTAAAAAAAATAGTTATGGAACCTGATATTCAGTGGTTGTAGGTTGTTGATGTGGTTCATAAGTGTTTCTTGTTTTTTATATAGACGAGACCGTTGGTTTTCCTGTTTGAATGGTTTTACACTAGTCATTTTGGGGCCCTTCATAGCTTGCTGTTCGGTGTGAGCTAAGGCTCCGTGTTGAAGGCCGTACTTTGACCTATAATGGTTTACTTTTACAAATTGTGACTTGGATGGAGAGTGGTCTCATTGACACTCATACCACATCTTCTTATATCTTAGGCTTTTTGACACTAAACGTGCACTCGATATGTAATTCATCATTATACAGGCAAGCCAAAAAATACGTGTAGAGTCTAGATATTATAAAGTTATCTATTACAAGGCACCGACGTCATTGTTGTTTACATAATAATTCTGAAGCAATTCTAAGCCACGTCCAGTCGGAGAGCTCGAGGGACTTTGAATCCAATTACTCGTGTGAAGAGAGCGCCGTGCTCTCTATACATTAAAAAACCTTGCAAAAAATTGTTTTGGTTCATTTGATGACATTTGCTGCAAGGCAAATTGTTGACCCCTCTCCAACAAACCCTCACTCTCCAGTTGTAGTCGAAATTCGCGCCCTTCATACAGGTCCAACAACTCTACAGAATCTAACTATTGAATGTTTTGTTTATTTATCATCGTTCTGCATATTCATAAACTATTCGTCACTGTTTGTTCAGCATATCTCGTGGCGGCCAGCTTTATTGGAAGATGCTGCCAGAGTGCCCGGAGAGAACCATCAACTTTCGGCGGGAAAACTTACAATTTTACATGTAGTCAGTTAAGATTGCAGCCAAATTCCATAACAACATTGCGTTCATGTACACCGGTATCTAGGTGTTGTATATTTGATAGATAGACATGAAATGACCATGATTTCTATGTTTAGTATCATGTAAACATGGGTTACTACTGACCATACATTGTGACTCAGTAATATATCTTAATAATAAAGGCGTTCTTTTGACTTAAATGTGTTTTTAAATTTCGTTCACTGATAATATAACAGACCTGGCTAACCAGAAGACTATTTACTAAATTTTTACATCTTAATCTCCGGTCATGTGTTACTAACTAATGTACAAAATGAAATACGTTTTTAATTGGAATTCTTTAAAGAATCAAAGGGGTTCTAATTGTGTAAAATGTCGTAGTTATGTCTATAAACTGTGTCCAATCATTTGCATATTATCTTAATCCAATTATATATTGTACTTTATGTATGAACACTTATTAATATTCTACAATTTCGTACATCCG